TTTTAAAATAGGTTGGCTTGGCCTAATTAACTTGGTCTGCTAATAAGAGCAAATGGAAGAAGTTGATTTGATCCGATACAATTCATTATCTTAAAACAGTTTACCTGTTGGCCCCTATTAATTTTTATTTTATTTCATTACATTTCATTTTTTATCTTTTATTTTCAACTAGAAGCTTGCTACAGGTACCTGGAGTTTGACACTCCAAATTACCTGCTACTCACAGGGGGGTCGGTATCCCAAGCCAATAAATGTGTGGGGCCTGACCTCCTCACTCACATCGGGTTACCCGATGTGTTAAACGTCGGGTACAAAGGGAAATCTCATTTCAACCATACAATCTTACATAAAATAATATTAAACGTAAATCAAATAGTTTTTTTTTTCAACCACTCATTTAAAAAAAAAATATTATTCTACCCATTTTCATTTTCACAAAATAGGGGCCAAACGGGGGCTATCTTTACCTTCTTTTTTGGGGCAACCTACAAAAATACCCTTAAAATTATGGCTCTTTTAAAAAATCATATAATTTTTTTTAAGTAAAAAATACGTTGTGATATTAAAAAGTGATACAGTATCACTTTTTTTTATTAAAAAAATAGCATACAAAATCATTTTTAATAAAAAGTGATGTTTGTCATTAAAAAAGTTATAGAAATTAATAAGTTGGCTGAAAAAAAAATGAGGAACGCTAAAAAGGTAACAAAAATTAACTTGGAGCGGGGGAATGGTGGGGCGGTGGAAATGTTGTCTGCAAGTACAGTTCGTTGCCGGTGGTGACGATGATAGTAGGTTCGGCTTGGCGGAGAAGCCATTCTATAGTCTCTCCTCAAAGCAGTGGCCAAGCTCCCATATCAACTGGAACATATGGGGCGGTGCACAAAGTTGGTATTCTCAAGGCCGGCCTCGGCCATTGAATTTAGTGTGCGTGTCCTTGTTGATAACAAAGACCCGTTTGCAATTCTTGAAAGACCTAACTTAGTTTTAGGCGTTTAGCGGGTTTAGCAGCAGAGGACTCAACTGCAGCGACGATGGCGAGATGTGGAATGTCGGCCCTAAGAGGCTGAACAAGGTGATGGCAGGAGGGTTGCACTGGCATCGAGATGTAGTTATCAGAGGAGAGTTTGTATAGGGCCGTTTCCAAAGCCATTTGAGGGGCGTAGCACGATGGAGGGAGGAAATGTGAGAGAGATTGAATAGAGGCCTCTCAAGAGCGTAAGTGTTGCTATTCACATCCACAAGTTTTTATATAAGCACCATACTCTATATATATCCCTATTAAAATATTAAAAAATTACTATTTTCATCTATGTCAATTTTCAATATTGTCTTTGTTAAATTAATTCATTTAAACATTATAAATCTATACAAATTTTATATATTCATCTCACCATAAATACATTCATAATACAATTTCAAATAATTGAAAAAAAAAATCACTACATTCATTTAATCACTATCAACATTTAATCTGGTTCTTACTTATCATATTCTATATTATCATGTTGATGCTTTAATATTTACTTATAAAGATTAGCAAATCTCTTTTTTAGAATTTATAATATCAATAATTTTTTTTTAATACTTATAAGCTTATAATTTTGATTGTTTGCGTTTCGACTAATAATTTTAAGTTTATTTCCTTTAGCAATGTAAGAATATTTGGACATGTATTGAAATTTATTTTGAAATTTCTCGTATATTTTCATCTATCAAACCAATACTTAAAAAGCATGAAAAATAATATTGCATTTTTCATATCGTGAAAGAATTATAACTCTAATAATGTATTTATTGTTTTAAAATTTTCGTTGATAAGGATATTTTATGATTTTAGATGAAGATGAGTTTTTTTTCTTATAAGCTCATAATTCTGGTTGTTTGTGTTTCAACCGATAATTTTAAGTTTGTTTTCTTTTTTAATATAAGAATATTTGGAAAGATATTGAAACTTATTTTGAAATTTCACGTATATTTTCATATGTCAAACCAATACTTAAAAAGACATTAAAAATAATATTCCATTTTTCATTTTATGAAAGAATTATAACTCTAATAATGTGCTTATTTTTATTTTTTAAATTTTCGTTGAAGATGATATTTTATGACTAGAGTTTTATGATTTTAGATGAAAATGGTATTTATTATTATTAGAATTTTAGTTAATCAAAAACTCTAAAAAGAATATGAAAATGTTTAAAAGAATTTATGAAAATAAATATTAGTGGATGAAGTTAGTGATGGCAAAAACCCGCCCCACCCCGAATGGGTTGCCCGGGCAAGGGCGAGGATGCCCAACCCCGAACCCGCCCCATGAAGGGGAAAAAAAAAAAAGAATATTAAAAATAATTTTATTTTCAGACAATTCACCCGTTAAAAATTCATTTTAAATTTTTATTTTATTCTCTAATAATGACTTAACTCAAAAATTTGAAAATGTAAAAAAACGGGGCAAAAAGTTGCCCTTGCCCCACCCCGTCTAAGGCGAATGGGGCGGGGGTGCTCTATTGCCATCTCTAGATAAAGTTAGAATGATGTATTTTTATTTAATTTTATATATGTCTATTTAGGTAAATTTACGTAAGATAAAATATTGTGTAAATATATTTTTAAAATTGGACGTACATATAAAAACTATGGAAATAAATAGCGGAACCTTTTATACGGTTACTAAAGACATAATTAGGGTTTAAGTGTATTATTCTAATTAGTTTCCTTTTTAAAGTAGTGGGTCTAATTATCCCTTTTTTTCTGTTAAAAGAAAGAGAAAATTGCGTAATTCGGTTCACTATTTTTACCCCCACCTTTTTACTTTCACGATAACATACCCGCAAAATTAACTATATGATTCGATGCAACCATTAAAGAGAATATTTGCACACACATCCAACATGTTTAGAGGATTGTTGCCAAAAATGAAAAAAATAAAAAATAAAAATAGAAATAGTTTGTGCATAATAGGAATGCTACGTGGTGTGAGCCGAGTCGATAAAGTGGAGCTATGGACACAAAGCCGAAGAGCAAAGCTCTCGTGCAAGCCACTTGTCACTCACACGAATTTACTAACGAGCTTATTGATTCCAAGCTGACCCCATTTATCACTCGTAATTAGTGATGGCAATTTACCTGCCCCGTCCCGCCCCGAATGGGGTAAAAAAACCCGCCCCGTGGCGGGGCGCCCCGCCTAGTGAAGAAAAAGTAAAAAAAAAATTAAAAATAATTTTATTTCTAAATAATTCATCCGTTAAAAACTCATTTTAAATTTGTATTTTATTATCTAATAATAACATAATTCGAAACTTTCAAAATGTAAAAAATAAAAAAAATAAAAATTAAATGGGGCAAAAAGTTGCCCCGTCCCCGCCCCATCTAAGGCGGGGTGGGGCAGGGTTTTTCCCAAACCGGATGGGGCAGGGCCGAACGGGGTGGGGGTGCCCCGCCCCGTTGCCATCACTACTCGTAATGCACCAAGTACAATATGTAAGGACCATTTTCCAATTATTAACATAGTAAGATACCTCATTAATACTTCATGCGACACCGTTTCAATCATTTTGAGACTAGAGATTAATGCGGTTCGATTTGAACGATTTGTGCTATATTTTCAACTCAAACCATTTTATGTGGTTTGAAATTTTTTCAAACTAAACCAAACCATTTTATTTTTCGAACCAAACCATAATTTGCCATTTGGTTCGGTTTTAATCCACGGTTCACCTTTAGACATTATAGTAATGTATTTAACACAAGTTAAAAATAAACTTAAACAAGAACTAATAATGTTAAATGTTAAATTACATTCATATTTATTATGAAATCCATGAATAAATTATTTTCAAAATTGGTTGCTAAAAAACGTTAATAGACCACATTCATATTTCTTCATTTTTATTTACCTTTCTTGTTTGACACTCATATTGTTATGTAACGTTTGGTAAATGTAGAGTTACATTCTGTTATTATAGTTTGGTTGAAACTCCTTTCGTTTTGTTAGTGAGATGTTAAATAATGATTGAACGAGATATGTTTTAGATGTACAAAGATTGTCAGAGTTTCTACTTATTGGGAATTAACGAATTTCATCCCCTAACTACTTTATGAAAGTAGAAGGTAGTAGTACTAGTTAGGGAACTTTAACATTTTCACACAATCAATACGCTCTGTCTTTCGTTCTTTCCAAATCACAGAGGAGTTCATTAATCATCTAGGCATACAAACAATCATTTTCTATCAAAACCACAACTCATAAGTGTATAATAAGTTCAAAAAACAAATAAAAGAAAGAACAATGGAAAAATGGCTTGAATAAAGATATAGGACTTACCGAAAGAGAAGAGAGAAAGAGACAATTCAAGTAGAGATTAGTAGACCAACAGACAAAGACGACTGACGATTCATTCAGTAGTGACAAACCAAATGTTAGGGAAATGAGAGTTTATGTTATGATTTCCTAGTAGAATTATGATTTGAATTATTGAAAATATATGCCTTTTTTCATTTCATATGATTTTAGAATAATTTTAGTTTAATTTAGATATCAGGTAATGACATGTATTGTGAACCTGTTAAATCTTAGGTCAACAATGATGAACTTAATTTACTTTCTATGATTATTTCAATAGGTTGGTTGTAATTTGTATTGTTAAATTGATATATTTTTTTTAAAGTGAAACCTGTAAAATTTTAAATTAATAAAATTAATTTTTTAATTTAAAATTTTGAAAACGTTTCGGTTCAATTTTGTACGATTTTTGAAAATCAAAACCTAAATCAAATCATTTTGAAATAGTTTGGTTCGGTTTGAGACAAAAGAATCACGGGTTCACTTGAACCTGAATCAATAACTTCAACTCAATGATTTCGATTCGATTTATAATTTCGCAATTTTTTTGTGCAGTCATACTATAGAGTTGAGACTTCTGTTAATTACATTTTAAGGTTCCTCTTGATGAGATGAAATAAGAGCCGCTGACTGTATTATCATCGCTCCCTCTTTCTCACGCACACAAAGGTCCACTTCCCCAGCTCTCCTCCACTCTCTGAAAGAGATCACTGGGTCCCCCAACCCCCACTCGAATGGGCCCACGTCAACGAGGGAAGGCTTTAACATCAAAACCCCCAAAACATACAAGTTCAATAAATGGAATAAGTCTGTAATGGCTGGATCTGAGCGGCAGAGACAATGAAGATAAATGTAGAAAATATCAACACATCCGCTCAAGTAATCCCACTTATCAAAGCAACTCTCAATCCGTCGAACAAATCAGATCCGTCTCACAGCCTTACTTGTCGAAGCAAACCGCCTCATTGGAAAATCAAGGCTTCCGGCACCGGAGTTCGGTTAAGGAAGGAAGTCAGATTACCATCTGGGAAAAGGAACAGCCGCCCGGAGACACCTTTACTCAGATGGAAGTTTGACGAAGATAAGGACCCCGATGCTTCTACTATAGAGGAGAAATCGTCAGCTGAAGTTCGACGGAAAAGTGACAGGAGAATTAGGGTTAATGGCTCGGCTAGGAAACTTGCTGCTGGACTCTGGCGGCTTCAGTTGCCGAAGTTTCAGATTAACGGTGGCCAAAGGTTAGGTTTTCAGGTACTGCTCATTCAAATTTCAAAAAGACACTTTTCAGAGCTTCACTTCGTTTTATGTATACTTTTTTTATTTTTTATTTTTATTTTTATTTTTATTTTTATTTTTTTTTATAGTTCATAATTCGATTGTTTTTAATATGGATCTTGTGTACTACTTTTCCTTGTTCGATTTGGAAGGTGTTTTAATGCATAGATTTTGCTCTTGTTAATTAGGAACCCAAAATAATTAGAGAAAGAGAAGTACAAATTATGGTTTAATTGCAGTCCTGTTAATTTTCATTTCATCTAAATTATTGATTCCCAGTAGAAGAATCCTTAGGCGTTCTTATTGTTGCTGTTGCCCCTAATAGCATCGTTGAATTTGCACATAATATTTGTTCTTTATTTGAGGGTTGTGATAGCACTTTGAGGACCATAATCATTTTCCTTTATATGGCACTACATGTCATCTGTACACAGATCAATTTCCGTGGGTTTGGTGTATTTTAAGTCTATAGCTGGTAGGTATAGTTTTGAAGTTTATTAAAGTTTTTCTTTGCCAGTTCCTGGCAATTATGATTTATTACACTGGTTGTTTCGTTTATGCAGTCTGGAGGTGCTCGTGTTGGGATAGTCCCTGTCGCCGTTCATGGTCATATTATTAGTAAATCGCTTAACTCTCCTGAAAAGGATCTGGTACATAGTCTGCATTCTGTGTCTGGCCAAAGAAACGGGCTTTCATTTAAGGTTCGCCTTTTTCCTTGATACATATATGAAGTGTTTTATATTTCCAAAATGACTATAATATAAACTGCTAGAGACCTTATCTTGTATAATGTGATTCGTTTGGCAACATGTTAGATGCTTGCTTATATTTTCAGTACAGCCTTCGCATCTGTGCAATTTTTACTTATCAGAACTTAGACATACTCATATTTACTTGTAGTTTGAGCCTTCTTTTCAATTTTCAAATTCTGCAATGGAGGGGGCTACAAAGTGGGATCCTGTTGGCTGGAAGACATTGGATGAAATAAAGAAGATATTTGGCCAGCCCAAACACTTTGACCAACAAGCAAGTGCTGCTCCAGTAATATCTGCACTTGAGGCAGAACTTGAGCAGGCTCGAGCTAGAATCAATGAACTTGAAACTGAGCGCCGGTCTTCGAAAAAGAAAGTCGAGCATTTCTTGAGGAAACTCAGCGAGGAAAGGGCTACATGGCGTAGCCGAGAACATGAGAAAATTCGTGCAATTATAGATGCCATAAAAGCTGACTTGAGCAGAGAGAAGAAAAACCGTCAAAGGCTGGAAATAGTGAATTCTAAGTTGCTCGATGAGTTAGCTGATGCCAAGTTATCAGCTAAGCGCTATGTGCATGATTATGAGAAAGAGAGAAAGGCCAGAGAGTTGATAGAGGAAGTCTGTGATGAACTAGCCAAGGAAATTGGAGAGGACAAAGCTGAAGTTGAAGCACTGAGAAGAGAATCTATGAAATTCCAAGAGGAGGTGGAAGAAGAGAGGAAGATGTTGCAGATGGCCGAGGTCTGGCGTGAAGAACGAGTCCAGATGAAGCTAGTTGATGCAAAGGTGATGCTCGAAGAGAAGTATTCTCAGATGAACATGCTAATAGCAGGACTGGAATCGTTCCTAAATTCTCAAAGTGCAAACCCAAACGCAGAGGAGATGAAGAAGGCAGAGTTCCTTCGACAGGCTGCTGCCTCTGTGAATATACAAGACATTCGGGATCTCACTTATGAACCCCCAAATCTAGACGACATGTTTTCTGTCTTTGAAGATGTTAATTTTAGCGAACCTAATGAGAGGGAGATCGAACCATGTGTTCCGTACAGTTCAGCTAGCCACACCTCCAAGATTCATACAGTGAGTCCTGAAGTGAATATGTTCAATAAAAATAATAATGTGAATAGACATTCTAATGCATATCTCGACCAGAGTGGTGAATTAGAAGAAGACACAAGTGAATGGGAAACGGTGAGCCGTCTTGAAGATCAGGGTTCTAGTTATTCCCCCGATGGAAGTGATCCCTCGATCAATAAAAATTTTCGACCAAGTAATGTTTTAAGAAGTGAAAATGAGGGCGAGGAAACACCAATCACTGAAATTAGTGAAGTCTGCTTTATGCCCGCACGGCATCCGAAAAAGGTATCTTCCATATCTAGGCTCTGGAGATCATGCCCGAATAATGGTGGTGACAATTACAAGATCATTTCAGTTGAGGGAATAAATGGAAGGCTTTCAAACGGCAGGCTTTCTAATGGGGCTACCATGTCTTCAGATTGTGGTTCGGTTAAAGATGGGCTTAATTCTCAGGATTTGGTTGGACAATGGAGCTCACCTGAATCGGGGAACCCACATATAATGCGAAGGATGAAAGGGTGCATTGAATGGCCACATAGCGCTCAGAAGAGTAGTTTGAAAGCAAAACTTTTGGAGGCGAGGATGGAAAGTCAAAAAATCCAGTTGCGCCAGGTCTTAAAGCAGAGGATTTAAAAACAAAACAGCAAATATTGCACGCCTAGAGCCTGCGCAGCAGACTGACCAGCAAGCCAGGTTTCAATCTCCAAACATGAAAACGCTCCTATTCTTCTTGCCAAACTACTTATATCTTGTGAAAAGCCCTTGAATAGATGCAGACGATAAATGTTGTGGAATTGTGTTTTCTGGTTCTCCGTTCCTTCTTGTAACCAGGATTGAGAAAGTTGCCGTTCCACAATTTAAACAGATCCAAAACATGATTGAGCGGATAGGAAAATCGACGTCAAGCTTTATTTTTATGCATTCAGATAATTTAGCTTCCATTTATAGATGATCAGCTTAGTGTACTATTTGTAATTCCCTGTTTTACGGGTTAATTATCGGTGTCTCTGCTTCTGTGTATTGTAGTCCTAATTGCTCTTGATTATTTTATTTTTCACAAAGAGAGTGAAAGTAAAGGAAGCTGGCCCGATGGAGAACTGCATTATAAATTACCGCCCCACAGTTATCATGATTCCGAAATGATCTCCAATGGTTCAAATTGACATCTCATGCTTTGATGCTATATATGTAAAGTGATTTGAGTTAGATTAGTTCGTGCAAAAAAAAGTTCGAGGCCCTGTGGGAAAAGGGGAAGATGACGAGTTTTCTTGTGCATACTTAATAAAAGTTGTATCTTGATTTTAAAAAAAGGGAAAAAAGGAAGAAGAAGAAGAATTTAAACTCGTGCTTCAATCAAATCATATATTGTGCCTACCCTGAGTTAATGTTCAAATTCACTAAGAATATTTTATATTTTAATAATTTAACCAAACGCCCAACTCGAGTTAAGGTCATTTAGATGATCGCTTAAGGTCCTATGTTAACGAAACCAAATAGATTTAACTGACCATTGGGTTCTCGTCATTTATAGCTATTAAAAGATATCCCTATGAATTAAGTTTATATATATAATTTGTCTTTGAATAAAATATTAGCTTTAAGAAATTCTAACTATTTAAATAAAAATTAAAAAGTTACTTAGAGCCTGTTTGTGAGTGATTTTGAGAATTGATTTTTTGACCGTTAAAGAGAAAAGTGGGATCCACTTGTGAGAAAAGAAATCAAATATAACGGCTAGAATAATAAAATAACAGTCAAAAAAGTAATTTTTTTGGGGAAAAAATCACTCCCAAACAAGCTCTTAATATCACAAACGATTTTTATTTGTAATATTAATAAGTTAAATTTCAATAAATTTAATTTGATGACGGAGAATTCATCAACAAATAATGTAGTTAAAATATATATTTTAATATTCATGAATTTTTTGCTGAGAACAATATAAAAGTTGTAATACTGTCAATCAAAAAAGAAATCTTAAATTATTGACCAAGTAAGTATTAAAAAATAAAAGGAGTGATTGATGAATAAATGCTTCTTAGTTGATGATTGTCAACTATATCACAGACGAAATTGTTTTACGTAATCAGTGGCGAACATGGATTGATCAATAATTTCATTTGAATCAAAGACTAATATTATTTTTCGTCAAGTAATATATGATATGTAATTCTGTCGATGGTCATCATTCTTGAATAAGGCCCCAAGCTATCTGAACGTCCTTCAAGTAATACCATAATATTATTTTATTCAAATATTGTTATAATATAATATATATCCAGAGCAATTTCTTCCTGGAAAATGCATTTGTTTAAAAAATATTCCACTGTGACTAGAAGAGATGGTACAATGATTTGAATAGAACATTTCTTCAGAATTTCCCTGCAACTTGATTTTTTTTCCTGCATTTTATTGAACACCTTCTCTACATATCGGGCACGTCCCGTTCCGGATTAGCCATTCATCTGTGCAGTGCAGGTGGAAGGAATGTCTACATCTTGGTAGCATCCTTGCACAATCTCCATTCTCAAAATCCTACATATAAGAGAGAGAGAGAGAGAATTAATACCAGAACTTAACCTACATTGTTAAATCATGTTAGAAAACTACATCCTGACTCAACTTTTAGGGTTTGTTTAATAGGATTTTGTTTTTACTTCTACTTTTTGTAGAAGAATTTCATGAGGAAGTTACTTAATTGAAGTAAGCCTTTTTTTTAAAAACTCTTTTAGCCACACAAAGCACTTTAAGAAAGTTATTTGAACATATTCAAAAATAATTTCTTAATCTCTAAAGCAGCTTTTAACTTTTCAAAACCCCTGCCACAGGGATCCTTAGCATCGACCTGACCAAGAAGAAGAAGCACAAGCAAACCTGTAAACAAATAGTGCAATTTATCTCTTGAGATGATTTCATTGTCTCCATAGAATGGTATTTGTAACTTGGCAGCTTCTTGATCACATCCAGTGATAATCCTCTGGTAGAATTGACCTCAAAAATGTCTGAAATTTCACTTTGATTTGTTTCCATTGTGCTAATCTGCAATAAAGGTTTTTCACTAATTTGTAATACATGGCTATAACAAATTAATGGCCAAGGCATGAAATAAAGCTATATAAGAATAGATAATAAAGTAGTTACCTGCCATTGACAAGCTTTTAAAACTGCAGAATTCAGCCATTCCATAAATACTTTACCATTTAGTAAACTACATATCAGTGCTACCTGAAAAATTATCCCACAATGTTCATTCATCACTTCTTGCTATGCACAATCTTAATAGATTAAATATATACATGCATTGAGCTCTTGTTCAGTATAGCTTAAAATGTTGCTAAAAAGTTGAGATTAAAGTCAATAATTAGTTTTCATCACACATCTCATGGGACTTTTCAAGAACAAATTTCATCAATTTTTATCAAAATCTGTTAAATTTTTCATCAAAAGCTTTGTCAAACAATCCCTAAGTCTAATAGGGATCCAAGTTGTAGCTTCTCTCTCCTTCTGTTGCATTAGAATTAGAGGACATGGATAAATGTTAGTGTTCATTGAGAAACACAAAACCAGGATATGTTCAGTATGGTGTACTGAACAAGACGGGAGAAGATTAAGAACGGGGTATGTGCATATGACAAAATTTATAACATGTTCTATCGCTCCTGCAGAGTCGAGCTTATCAAATTTGCCATATTATGCGTAACGGGTTTACAATTCACAAAATAATACATCAACTTGGAAAATGGCTCTCCATAAAGTATGAGTTCCATCAATTGAAGTGCTGCAATGACCCCTGCCATAGCACCAACACCAGCACCGCGTAAAAAACCCGTTTCAGTTGTCTGCCCTTTTATTGCTCCTACAATTATTCCGGCTGTAACTCCACCTACAAGTTATCAACACATGCTTTGATACCATGTTGAACCAACAATATTTTGTGTAACGTATTTAGCAATTGACGATGGAAGAAAATACATAGACATACCTAAACCCAAAATACATGCAAGTAGAGCCACCGCAGTTTTCCTCAACATCGTCGATAGAGAACCAGCAGAAAACCGAGAAAAAGAGCTAGAGAACCACGTCTTCATTATCGAGTCGATAACACAAAATTAAACCCAACGTGCACCAAGAAATGTGTACGAAAAACTTGAAGAACTCTTGGAAATGTGGAAGTAGAATTTATAGGAAAAGAAGCAACAAATGAGCATTTAAGTTCTTCTGCATGTCTAGTCACTGTTTCAAATCCATTAAAGATTTAAATGGAAAATGGTTTCGGGTTAAAGACTGGATATGGGGTGACCCACACTCGGATTTGGGTGCATTGTATGCCCATGCTTCACTCGGAGTTTCTAGGTGGACCTAATTGCATTAAAAAATTGTGCATGTCTTGCTATCAAAAGAAAGTTCCGGTAGATGGATATTTGATACTCAAAGTAAAATTTTGCTCCTTGTTGTTTTCGCACTGTCCATAAATGGAAAATTCTATCATTTGTTTGAAAATTGTTCTCATTTTGTTGTTGAACGGTTGTTGATTTTAGATTAATTAAGACTTTTGATGCATTCCCTGATTATATTACTGATTATGGAATTTTTTGGTAGGTACAAGTTGTGATAGTTCAAGATTTTGGTAATCATGTTTAAAGTCAACTTCAATAGTTACTAAGAATTGCTATCTAGAGACTTCAAAAAATATCGTACATGTGTCTTTTCTAGAATTTCAAGTGTCAGTGAACTCGGATCATCCAAAATTATATACCAATGGCATGTTTCTTGAGTGTAATTTTTTTGAGAATAGGTTTTGTGAAAAGTGATTTTCTTGAAAAATATTTGGTGAGAAAGTAAGAAAAATTTATGAGTCCACGTTCGCAATTATTTTATATATTTGTTATAAACGAATTAGTAGAAACATAAGTTATAAAAGATCTATACCAAGTTGGGGAACCTCAAACGAATTGGAAAGTTGTTTAATACATTCTACAAAAGTTCACTAACCATTTCATTAAGGTTCAAATTGAGTAATACCCTAGGATTAAAATTACGTATTTTGAAAGGCATCGTGCCAGGCTGGCCCCATCTGAGGGTCGAATAGGGCTTGAGTTTCAACGATTGAACCGTCCCTTTTGACATTCCCACAATAAAATCCAAGATTGATCATCAAGATCACAAAGGTAATGCAATATACTACTATAATAAGATTTTAATAATTTTCAATATTGTTCAATATTATACGTTTCAATGTACAAAAAGTAAATGAGTAGGTGACTCCAATAAGTCCTGAGTTATAAATGGACGCATTTAATTAATATTTTGAAAAGTTTACTAATCATATCAACAAGGTTCGAATGAATTGTGGAGTAATACCTTACGTTTAAAATTACTTATTTTGAAAAGCATCATGTTCGGCTGGCCTATTGAAAATATGGTCAAGATGGGCCCATCAGAGGGTCAGATAGGGCTTGAGTTTCAACGGTTGAACCGTTCCTTTTGACACTCCTACAATAAACTCATCCAAGATTGATCATCAAGATCACAAGGGTAATGCAATAGAGAATGATTCTATAACAAGATTTTAATATTTTTCAATATTGTCCAATATTATACACGAAAAGTAAATGAGTAGGTGATCCCATAAATCCTGAGTTATAATGGGGCACATTTAATTAATATTTACTATTTAATTTGTGTTATGGCTTGTAAGTGGCTTGAATAAAGAAAGAATAATAAATGACAAAGCACAAAACTAGGTGCTTGCAGCCTGGAACACTGGTTTAAGCTTCTGTATCTGCGGGCTACTGACCTGGGAATTGCATTAAGAGATTGGACTAAATTTGTTCGTAATACTATATTGGTGAGTTGTGGTCCTTTACTCGCATATTCAATTCGTTGAATTAGGAATACATGAATAAGAAGATAAATATATTCAAATTTATCTGTTGTTTTATTTAACGTTATCTATTTTAGGTACCCAAATATTGAAAAAATAATCATCTAATTTATCAAATATTCTATTTAATATTATCGAATTTAAGGTGTGAATATGAATAATGTTTAAATTGACTCCTTTCATGAAGAATCTCGTAGACATTAAACATATCTCTTCCTATCACATCGATTTAAATGGCAAAAATAATTGAAGATCAATTCAGAGTAATATATTGAATTCAACAGTTTCTTCATTATTGTATCATAATAGTTTTAAACATTTGTGAAGCCTCTAGACTAATAATAAATGTTGAGAAATGACAAAAATGTCGCAATTAGTCATAATAATTGTATTCATGATAACGTGCTCTATACATATCAACTAATTGCATTGTCGATTTGAAATAAGTTGAGAAATTTTTAACTTTAAGATGTTCTCTCGCTGAAGGAACTATTAGAATCGAGTATACTATTGTATATTTTGTCTAAGATCCACTAGTCTTTTAATTAAACTTTTTAAACATAGACAAACATGCTCTTAGTTTTAGAAAAGAAATCTTGTAATTGATTAGATTAAAATTAAGTAAGATTAACCTTGCTTCTTGAAAATAGGAAAATTCTAATACGAAATGGATGCGCAAAGTGTTTACAAATCCCTCCATGATTTCAGGGATCTGAGCAAAAAAAATAAACACACACACACATCTACACTTGTGTAATTCTTTTGTAACTAGTTTATGATTATATATATGTTAAAGAATTTTCAAATAATGTCGGTTTTAGATATTATCAGATACATACATGAGTTAATACTTAATATGAGTCAAGGTATGTTATGGAATTCAGAACTGCTTTTGCTTCTATTCATGTTTAAACTCAAATTTATGGCCGCTTTTCACCATAATTCAGTTATTTAACTAACTTTATGAATAATTGTGACTCAATAAAAAGATATCTCTTCGGAAAGTGATCATGATTAACAATGTATACAATGGATTGTGGGTTTTTAGTTTGAAGTGTAGGAATTGGTTCAAATTATTAATAAAAAATTGGAAAATGAAAAAGTGTGACTACGTGTCAACTTCAACCAAATATTCGGATTTGATTCGATTGTCAAATTACAAAAGTAAATAGACCAATTTATTCTACTCGTCGAGTAGATCGTTGTGGTATATTTGGAATCTTGAAACCAATTCCGGATGAATGAGAACTTGCGGACCAAAGTTGGAAGAAATGAAGTGTTGTAACTTTTAGAAAGGATGCAACTTTTGACCAAGTGTTGCAACTTTTTTTAAATGATGCATGTTTTGGCCCACACTATTTTATTTGCACAATTTCTACATCTATAAATAGAACTCTATGGACATGATTTTGGGTACACCAATTGCATTGAGCATTCATTCTCCCCTTACAATTCTTTCCTTTCTAATTCCATGGCATTTCATACATTTCCTTTGTAGAGGGGAAAATCTGTCAAAAGTTCGTCGATTTCTTGTGGTTTGAAGTGCTGCTACCACAAGTTGTGAATCTATTGTATTTTGGAAGACGAGTGTCATTCACCGTGAGCATCGTAGCAGGGCAATTTGTCTTAAGGAAAGAGATAATGTCTCGCCTTTGATTATTCTTTATTTCTACTCCTTCTTAATCCTTATTTTGCGTAATCGTTATACCGAAACTCTGTCCAAATTTCCATTCATATAAATTGTGTTTTGATAACGCTCTTGCAGGTTAAAACTGGTCAAACAAATTTATCAAAAACCAACCTTTACATAACCCTTTTTTATAAGTCGTCTCCAACAATCTTATGACAAATTTTGTGTCTTTGTGGTTGGTTGTGGACAAACATTACTTTGTTTGAATAGTGCTTTGTGTACTATTCCTCCACCGATATTATCGTCATTTTGTTGAACTTCTATTTGTGTAACAGAAATGACTACCATCGAGATTTCGTCAAGTCAAAATGGTTCTAATAATGTGGTACCACCCGTGACCATACCGTTGCATAATACTACTATCCCACATGAGGAAAAGTCGAAAAAAATTGTAGGAGTAGACTTCAAGAGGTGGTAACAAAAGATGTTGTTTTATCTCACCACTCTTAATTTGGCTAAATTTTTAAAGGAAACTGCACCGGCTGTACAAGAAGGGGAAAATAATCGTGAATCGATTATTGCTTTGGATGCATGGAAACACTCAGACTTTCTATGCAAGAACTATATTCTAAACGCATTGGATAATACACTATATGAGGTGTATAGTTCAAAGGAATTAGCCAAGGAACTATGAGATTCTATGGAGACAAATTACAAGACTGAGGATGTCGGAACAAAGAAGTTCATTGTTGGCAAATTTTTGGACTACAAGATGGTGGATTTCAAAATCGTAATTAGCCAAGTACAAGAGATTCAAGTCTTGTTGCACGACATCCAAAATGGAATTGAGTGAATCATTCCAAGTGGCTGTCATTATTGAGAAACTCCCTCCTATGTGGAGAGATTTCAAAAATTATCTCAAGCACAAACGCAAGGAAATGAATTTGGAAGAATTGATTGTACGCTTGAAGATTGAAGAGGACAATCTGAAAATCCAACGAAGGCCGGTTGATCAAGATGGTGCAAATTTTGTTGAAATGGAACCAAATGCAACAAATAAGAAACGAAAGGCTCTTAATTATGCACCGCGAAGAGACAATTCCAAGAAGGCTAAGAAGTTCAAAGGGAATTGTTACAACTGTGGCAAGGCTGGACATCGTTCAAGTGAATGTCAAAAGTTAAATAAGAATGCTCAAACCCATATGGTTGTCAATAACACTCTATCCGATGGACTGCAAGAAATGAGTTTATCTGCAGTAGTGTCCGAATGCAACATTATTAGAAATACTAGAGAATGATGGATTGACACCGGCGCTACCCGCCATGTGTGTGAGAACAAGGGGATGTTGTTCAACTATCAAGAATTGAATGGGGAACAACTATACATGGAAAATTCTGCAAGTTCCAAAGTTGAAGGACAAGGTAAAGTCACTTTGAAGATGACATCCGAGAAAGAACTCGTCCTCAACAATGTCCTACATGTGCTGGATATAAGAAAGAATTTAGTGTCCGGGTCTCTACTTAGCAAGAATGGTTTTAAACTTGTATTTGTATCCAATAAATTTGTGTTGTCTAAGAATGAGATGTATGTAGGGAAATGATAGATGTGTGAT